ATTTCTTTTCATACAATTGAAAAATCAAATTTTAAATTAGACGCAAGCCTCATGCTCCATGAGGTGCTCGCCTTTTATATTTAAAGGCGTGAGCCTCATATTTTTAGTCTCAAAAATACCGCCTCGAGACATACTACATGAGCCTCACAGTGATGTGGGCCTCAAGGCGCGCCTCACTACCGCCTTTTAAACCATGCACACAAACAAATATGGATGCCTTCTATTCACTAATTTATTTCTGGCAGCTCATTTTCTATCCCCCATCAGTCACCACACAGAACAACCCCAATGACGAAAAAAACTGAAACCATTAGATTTCATTGAAGTTTTAACATTATAGTTTCAATCAATTTACACAATACCATATCAAAAAAATTACAGAAAAATTGAAAATGGTGTTGGTGAATCTTAAATTTGTTTAAGAAAACTGGTGGATTTGGAGGTAGAAAGAGAGGAAGAAGCTGAAAAGGCAGAAAGGGTGGGGGTGGGGTGGGGTGGGGGGAAGGTGAAAAAGTATTTCTTTTTATTTCTTCTCTTTTTTTGGTTTCTATTTTTTCAAAATTATTTTAATAGTTTTATGAGGGAAATATGTAAATTTACCATTTGCTCTTTTTAAAATTGATCAAAATGTGGTCGACTCATTTTTCTAGTCAACTAACGGACCTCTGGACGGAAACCACCACACGGGATTGCAAGCTTTGGGACCAGCTCTTCTACAAATGAAAGATTAGGGTAAAAGCTACAACAATTTGAAAGGTTCGGGACGCAGCTGCAACTATCCCTTTATTTCTGGCAGTTCATATTCTATCCCCCACGTCACCACAGACAATAACATCATGAAGGAAAAAACTGAAATCATTAACCTTCATTGAAGTTTTAACATCATAATTCCAAGTTAAAGATAAGTGCATCTTCCAACAATAATTATTATAACAGAACCAGAGTGCCAAGATTAAGTTTAGCACAATAAATTATAACAGAATCAGTACCTCCTTTTGGAAAGGATCAAGTTCAAAAGGAAAATTAAGCGCCATATCAGGAACAAGTTCATAAAACCGTTCTGCAATCTCTTCACTGCCTCCACTAACGGCCCACACCTAAAAGATTCATCGACTCTACTTGAGAAACCCGAGAAAAACTAGTACAAAAAAGGTTAAAATACAGCAACTTCCTAAAGTATCCTAAACTTGACAAATCATTACCTCCTTTTGTTGTTGTGCACCATCATCATTATCTCCATCAAACCTTGACATCGATTTTTCTGATTCAACAGACAAAATTTGATCTATAACAGATGATTCGCCATTTATCACATCACCAGCCAAATACAGCTCTTTTACTTCAGTTTCTGTCTGACTAGATTCCTTGACAGACTCCAACTCTTTCACTTCCATTTTTAACTCTAACATGTGGCCTGTAAAAAATAACATAACTAAGAATATCCACTTGGAACATTCTGGTGTGGGTAAAAAGCTGCAAGTACTATCACGCATAACAAAAAAGGGGGATTGTTTCTCTCTCTTTAAGCATAGTAATGAACAATGTCCGAGAATAGTGCCAACTCACTCAAGTTAGAACCATAGTTACCTTTCGAGTTGCACATAACACATGCTGAGGGGACTAAATAACATCCTTTTTTCCTCACACTCTTCCCACCTCTTCATATCCCCTATAGTCTGAGAACACCACATTGGGGCGTCAACACAAGTAATCATGATTACCATACTGAAATGTTTTCTCTAGACTTAGCTTCTTCCAACATTCAATGTTCATGATTGAAGTTCATATAAAGGAATTCTTCATATACAAGAAAGGAATGAAATTTCCACCACCTAGAATTGGAAATCCACAGTGCTTTCAAGAATTTATTACCATACTGAAGTGTTTGTCACTAGACGTAACAGCTTCCAACATTCAATTTTCATAAGAAATTCACTCACACCTAAAGAAAATAATGGATATACTGTATTCCCATATTAGTGCAAATATTTCCAGAACAGGTAGCAAATTTCCTCGTCTGCCTGCTTGGATTTCAACAGAAGAACTGAAGTTAGCTTAATTAATTCAGTCAGTGCCCACTCAAATACCTAACCTTCCAGAAGCAAAAGTAGGTCTTGTCATGGTCTTTATCAAATTGAGTAAAAAGGTATTATAAGCACAAGTCGAGACAAATTACAAGCAGTCATTTGTGAAGCACACTTTAAATACAGCAGGGCATAGATCAGAAAATCAACATGAAAAGCATACAGACCATCTCCCACAGATTCTATGACATCCTCTTCCCAAGCTTTCTTAAATAAGTCATCAAACTGCACGGAAAACTCATTCTGCAGATAGAAGAAACGGATAAATATTAACAAAATAGAATCAGAAAGACATGAATTACATTTGTTTCAGGCAGATAAGAATAGGCGCGTATAAGTGACACAGATATTAACTGTTTTACATAGGAGATCATAAAAGTACTGCAACTGACCAGCTGCATATCTGGCGCACTCTTCACTGCACTTTGATTCTCAAAAACATTCCATGTGCAAGAATGTTCCTTCAAGAATTTATGAATAACCAAATGTTAGCATTATCAATGTAAAGAAAAAGTAACAAAAGCTTTATGTTTGAACGACTTGGGCTCTTCAATTGTCAAATTAAATAATGTTACCTTCAGATCACCAAAACCCAGTCCATCTTTAAAACCTGGGGGAACGACTTGTGCAGGACCCCCGTCAAGAACCTCTTTTACCCATTCACCATTGCAAGCACCATCTGGAAGTATCTTTCCCAAGGAATCAGTATTATCCAAGCCACCTGGGTGAAAAGGACGGTTGTTGATGCTTCCTCTTACAAAATCCTTTGCAGGTCCAACAATGCGAGGCAAAGCACCAGAATCCTTGGCTCCTACTGTGAGTTCTGATACATCTACCTAAAACAGTGCCTTATAATTAACTACAAAACCAAAATATTGCCGAAAATGAAAACAGTAAAATGAATGGAAACTGTGAAGAGCCTGGAAATTAAGTATTAGGACAAGATCATATCCTACTAATTTATAAAATGACAGAAGTTATAGATGTAGTTTTCTCCAGTCTTACGGCTGAAAAGCAGACTGTTATTTAACAGCTAAAGATATAAGCCGAATACATTAATACAAAAGTCTAGCCAAAATATATGGCTTTCATTTCATCTTTGATTCCCATATATGGCCAAAAGCGCATATTCACAATATAGAAGCATGATTCATATGGAGATAAGGGCATCAGAAGCCACAAATTTCTGACATCCTGAGAACTGTGGTTATGTTTTATTATGATGATATCTATCTGTGAATCCTGCTATTTAGTAGAAAACTGCCCCAGGCAAGTAAGGTTGCATCCAGATGGACCTGGTTGTCAACAAACTCATTTTTAGTACCCTCATTTTTATTTTTATTTTATTTTTGTGGCCTCTTCAGAGTCGTACCTCAATTAATTCTCCTCAAGGCCTTATGGCCTTAAATGTTGAAGATGTGCCTCTTTATCTTGTCTGAACCAGTATTCTATGTTCTCTTTTAAAGATGTGCCTCTTTCTCGTCTGTACCAATATTCTGGTTTTCTTTTAGTTTTACGTGAGCCAAGACTTCTTCACTTCAAAATGTTTTCAACTCGATTTCTTTCTCACAAACCAACTTCATATAAAGTCTTTTTGTGCATATTTCCAGTAAAAACAAAAGACTTTATATGAAAAGACTTTATTTATTGATATGAAAAGACTTTATTTATTGATCAACAATCACTATAATTTTTCCACGAAGACAACTGCCTTACTGTTTAGGGAGACTTCTATGCTATAATTGCATTAACTATTAGATTTGTTGTTTTGCATACCATATGCTATATTTGGCTAACTATTGTAGTAATTGTTGTGATCCAATGCAATTCACAATTAAAAGTAGTATCCTGTATCCTGTTATGCAATTCGAACTTAATTTTTGACAACTTTCTTGTCAATAGAAAATTGTAAACTTGCTCGCTACAATCAAATTCATCTTTAAAACGTGTATGATTTACCAACTGAATTGGTTTTGAAAGATATTCCCAATTCATGATGGAATCGATTCATTGGGCCTGAAGTAAAATAATTCTCTAATTTTTACGATTGATACTTCACTTCTTCACGTCAAATTTAAAGAAACATAAAAAAGAGCTCATTTTAACACGAGACAGTAATCAATAAGTGAGTGAAAATGCAGTTTATTTGTTGAAAAACGAAATTCAAATTAGCAATAACTTAATAATCCATACAATTTGCAACCTTTGTGTTGCCTTGTCCTCTGTGAAGCAAAAGTAAAAGAAGTATCTCATAGAGAGAGAACCTTTTGTATGAAAAGAATTTCCCTGTCATAGTTTCTCTGAAGAATTTCCAGTGAAATTTTGATAGTAACATCTCACATTATAAATTTAATGCTAAGATCTTCAACATTCTTTGCGGAAAAGTTTCTCATTGTATTAGAACAGCTGGTCTCATTAAAGTCTCCACAGCTACATCTATTGAGTGACCCAAAAAATCTACCCCAACATAGACTAACACATAACTGATCACACCCTGGATATGCTATCAAGTTCAGAATGTTATACTCAAATCACTAGTACTTGTCCATCATATAAGTTCGAGCATCCAACTATATTAATAATGTCTAACACATGAGAACAAGGAAATAAGCCGAAGCAAACTTTCCGTACCTCTACTGAGTTCGGCTCCCACCTTTCATCTCCGGGGCCATGGTTTTTGCGCCTGAAAGGCATTTCCCATGTTGGAACAACCACAGACCGCGGAAATGAAGGCTCTAGTTCGGTCTTGGCTCTATCAAACCAGTCAAATTCCCACTGTCGTCCTGCATTTTCAGGAGAAAAGACATCCTCATCCAACCTAGGCAGCAAATGTTTCTCCTTTATGTACTCCTTAATAGTTTCAGGAGTTTCCAATGGAAACGCTGGTGGCTGCCCACAATTATCCAATAACACAATAATTACATTCCAAATTGGCCATAATTCATAAACTCCAAATTCACATAATTAAAACTAAAAATAAACTAAAAAGACCCGCCATTAATAAAGAAAGTGCATGTGATTGAGACAAACAATACTTACAGGAATGAAGTCAGGGAGGGAGTGCAGGGGATTGGGGCGTTCAACGGGAGGGAGAGGTTCAATTCTGAGATGGCCGCTGTAGCCGGTGAATCCGACCCGGAAAGAGAGCCCATTTGCGGCCGGGACCCGATCCATTTTACTGTTACGACCCCGACTTTACTCTTTTGAAGTAATCTTCGCTCTATTTCAATCGTTTACTTGTCGAGGATTCAAAAGAAACCTTTTTCTATGCGTGCCGTTTCACGTTCGCGATATTTCTACGAGTTATAGAAGAGCAGATTTTGTAAACCCATGAATAAACCCCTAACAGAGAATTTATAAATGAAATTTGCTCAGTTAAAAGGGAAGGCCAAGTTCCGCTATAATCCTTTAAAAAAAAATTTTATTTATTTTTATTTATACATTTTTTTAATAAAATAAATACTTTTATACGTACATTTTTAAAAATTTCCTATTACAAAGTGAATTTTCGCCCAAAAAATGGGCTCAAACAAACCACAAACTTAGACATAAGGCTGAGCTAAGAATCCAACTTCGAATATTTTGTTTGATAAATTTAAGAAAAATAATTATTAAAGAATATGCAATATCGACGTGCGACTTCTCATATTCTAACAAATATTAATTTTTTTTTAATTTTAAAATAACTAGCGAATACATTGTTTTAAAAAAAAAATATTTGTTGATATCACATATTATTGTAAAAGTAGAAATAAATTCTATAATACTACCAATATTAATAATAATAAATACATTGCCCATTTTAGAAGGGAAGCATCCTCCGCCTCTATCCATGATGCTACGTATCATCTTGATAGAGAAGCCAAGAAATAAAGTATCAAAATTGAGGAGCGCTATTTTCATCATCCATTGTTATATATCACTCTAAATTTTTGTTTAACTAAAACCTTAATATTCATAAAATACCTTATTCAACTAAAGTCAAAATAAACAAAGAAAGAGACACAATTAAAGAAAATACATTCAGACATCAGACATGATAATCCCTCTTCTTATAAAAGAGGGAATCCTTCATTTACTGTTCATTCAGGACGTATTTCAATTTTCCATTTTATCCCTTTTTAGATTACTTTTGAAACTCAAAAGAAACAAAAAATCCTCTTTTTATAAAAGAGGGAATCTTTCGTTTACTGTTCATTCAGGACGTATTTCATCTTCCCATTTTATCCCTCTTTTGATTACTTTTGAAACTCAGAAGAAACAAAAAATTGGGGAAAAAATTAAATTGAAGAAGAGAAAAAGGAGAATCAAATTTTAAAGATTTAGTCAACAATGTAGGCGGTGAAAGGTGGTGACTATATATTTCTTATTCTTTGCATTTATATACCCAAAAAAAAAAAGCGGTGGCTGTATTTTTCTTATTCTTTGCATTTATATACAAAAAAAAATATCTTTCTCTTTTTCACCATGAATATGCAATAAACGAAAAGCTTGAGAAAAAGAAAATCTTGCATTTATATACAAAAAAAAAAAAAA